TACTAGTTTTCATGCATTACCCTCTGTCTCTTATACCCATCTAGATGTGTATAAGAGACAGTACCTATACTGTTACCATACCACTTTTCACTGTACTACACTAATGCAATTTGTGTGCTTTTGTAGTAACAAATCCATGTTCAATATTTTTTGTAGATGCATGTTAGTGTAAAATAATTATTTTATGATATATTTAAAATAGAAAAATAGGATGTAAAGAATGCTCTTTAGGAAAAGGCCTGAAACTACGATATAGTAAAAATATTATTTCATCCAAATTTGTGCAGGCGCCTAGGCGGTAAAGAGTAACAAACATGTTTCCTTACTCAAATTAGTAGCCCTACTGTATACGATAGTATATATAATGATATAAATACATATCCTTACCTTACCGTCTTTAGTTGGCTCCCAACTGATGGTTCCACCTCGATAATGCTCTGCACTGACAACTGTGGCCACTAGAGCCATCAGTACTACACGTAAGCTATTCATTTTTCTTTCAATTTACACACTGTTTAAACAAGAAACAATAGTCAGTAATCGTAGATTTCATAATCATAAAATAATGAACTAAATGTATACCATTAATTATTCAACTAAGATCAAAATCGCAAAAAAACCTAATGAAATTGATGAATTAACTTTTAGAAAAGAAAAAGAAAGAAAAATAAATGAAAAATAGAAGAAAATAGATAAATAAAAAATAGAAAAAATGAGGGCAAGAGGGAAGATATTTAAAAGGATAGTATTGGTCAGGTCAGTTATACCCTCTCAAACAACAAAATTATAGCAATTTTAATCTTAGATACCGGTGTTGACTGTTAAAAAAAAAGGAATATGCTTTTAGTTAGGAGCAGTTAAGTTGTTTTTATTGTTATGTTTTAATGTGTCGTAGGGCCCTCGCAAGAGCAGTGTTATATGAAGTGCTTGATATTGTCAATAATCTGCATAACAAGAACAGCTGGAGAACTGATATTAGTTATCGATTGATTTAAACGGTAATTGCCTATACACCAATTACACATATTTTTTATCTTTCCATCCCTACAGGTGTATTTCCCTCAGCAATGAAAACATCCACTAGAGTTACACCTGTATTCAAAAACAGATATCCCATGGATGTAGGCAATTACCGTCCCATATCATACTGTCGTCGTTCTCTAAAATTCTTGAGAAACTTGTTTATATTAGAATGTTAAATTTCATAAACTCTTGTAACCTGATGTTTGACTCTATCGACCACGATATTTTACTTTCGAAACTCCATTATTATAATATCCGAGGCAAAGCCTTGGAGTGGCTCCAGAATTACCTTGCAGACAGGATTTAATTTGTCTCTTATATTAATGTTATTTTTGGGGAGGGGAAGGAGTGGGTCACCATGTACCTCCACATCCACACATTTTTGGTTTTTTTAGGTACCTATGGGTATGATGGCTAGAAAAAATCCCGAGGTCCTTTTTTTATGCATTTTTTGAAAAAAAAATTATGTTTTTTGGAAAGATTTGGGGTAGGGGAAAATAGAGTAGCTATAAACTACAGTTTTAGGTAATCAAATATATAATACTTAATGTCATCCTTTTGGGTAAGACCTTTCTACTAAATAGTATGAATCAAATAATAATTGGGTCATCCATGACGTCATAAGAGGTCAAAAGGTCACATTTTTGCTTAAAAGAAAGTGAAAATGTGTTTACAAATATGCTGTAGCTACAGCCATCATCAACTTCAGAATATATATGAATACAACACATTTCATAGAGTATGGTACTCTTGGAGGTAGTTTTTGAAAAATAAACCCACCTTGAATGATTACTAGTTTTCATGCATTACCCTATTAAGTATTAAAGGAAATTGATTAAAATATAAAATCACAACTATGGGGTAGGGGAAACCAAACAAGATATAGGTACAGTTTTACAAGATTAAACTTTACCTGACCCCATTCTTTTGAATTGCTCTGTTATAAGCCGTGTAATCTCGACCAAGTTTCTATGGATAACAATAGACGAAAATCTCAGTTGGGGGAACACGTAAAAATTCACCTCATTCAGAAATGGGCCATTTGTGGTGTTGGATGGCGGGATCACACGGCTGGCAGAACTCTTCGTTAGATTAAGGTTGTTTAGTATTTATGATTTATATGATTTTAGTGTTGGCAATTTTATGTTTCTTGTTGAATCTGCAGCAGTCCATTGTCCTTTGCTAACAAATTTATTAAAAATAATCGTATCCTCAATTATTGCACTACACAGTCAAAACTGTACCACCAACAATCGTCCCGCTTAGTCACGATCTTCGTCTTTGGCCCTAAATATTGGAACTCCTTGCCTGGATCGCTACAGAACTGCTCCACATTCTCCACATTCAAACTTAACCATAATAATAATTAATAATTTATTGAACTTACACTTTTGTTACAGTGGCACTCATCAATTGACCAACAAAATTACAAAAAAGCACAAGCACAAAATTTGAAAGCCCCTTATCAAAACTTAATTAACTTAACAAATCCATAGAAAAATTAATGAATATACATATACATATATATATATATATATATATATATATATCTATACATATATACA